GCCCCCCGACAAGGAGGAGGATGAGGCTGGGGGGTAGACGGAGAGGGGCCCCGGGGAGCCGTGGTGAATGGACGTCTTGGAGAAAGGGCTGAGGTTCCAGGGGGAGGCGGTGTGGTGGCTGCCCAGGGCTTTCCCGCCGTCCAGCCAGGGCAGGGATCCGTGAAGCAGAGGCGGGCGGCACACCTGGCTCCCTGTGGGGCAGCAGGGAAAGGGCAGGAGAGAGAAGGAGAGTGAGTGTGAACCTGGGAGGCCATCAGGAGCACCTGGGTACTCTCTCCCTCACACTGGCCTCCTTTTCAGCAAAAGCCCAGGCCCACTCTCCCTTCCCAGTGATCGAAGGGGTACCTGCTGGGCACACCTGGGGCTCAAGCTAGGGGCAGAACCCTCACCCCTAGCTCCCACAGGATGTCCCATCAAACCAAGCAGAATGAAGGGCCTGCAGCTGACACCCGAGGGGCTGCGGAGTGAAGGGCCCCTTTGCTTATTCAGCCTCTCCAGATCCACCATCTCAATCACATCCCCCCAGGCCTCTCTCTAGAACCTGACTTGATTTATGGGTTTCCTTCAATGGCCCTGAGTTACCCGGCTCGGACTTAATCCCAGCCAGCCTGATAAGAGAGCCGGCTGTGAGTGATGAGGCCTGAAGGATGGAGCCCGGCCACACAACTGCTCACACCAGAAAACCAACCCTAGAGAGAGGCCCAGCTCCCAGCGCCCAATGCAAGAAGGAGAGGCCTTGGGACAGCAGTCAGGAGACTTTCAGGGTTTGTTTCCAGAAACCTAGCACAGTGCTTGCTCAGAATCACCCAGGCTGCCTGCAAAAGGCCTGAAATGGGATTTGCAGGGAAATGTTCATTGCTCATTGCTCGGGCTTTTGGAGAAAGTTCCCAAGCCTGGACCCTGGAATGGCTCTTTCTCTGCTTTTCTCACCCTCCCAAATCCTATAGGAGACAAAGATAACATAAGCCCCATGTGCCCTCCATAAAGCTATGATGCCACCAGTGCGATATATGAATTTTCACCTGAGCCCCTAAGACACGAAATTTCAGTTGATGTGTCCATTTTAAATCAAAGATGACTCGGACAGAGTCTGTTTAGCCTTCATTTAAAACACACAATCTTAAGGTGGCTGCAACTCATACACTCTGAGGGGTACGTTTAAAAAGCAAGCGCAAATCCAGACGATTATTGATCTTTAAATCCAGTACCTGCCTCAGCATTTGACATGCAACCATTAAGAACAATACTGAAACTAAAATCTTAAGAGAGAGGAAGGGGAGGAGAGTGGAGAGGGAAAGAGAGTTCTGTGAACACCAAGGGTCAAGATTCATATTATGCAGGAAGTAGTATAGTAAATAATATTAAGTCTGCTCTACCGCATTTCCACTTAACTGCTGAGCTGCACAGAATGTGGGCAAAGAGCGCCCCATCTGCAGAAACGATCGTTGGAAACCTGGCGACAGCAGGGTAGAGAGGATGCCTGCTGCAGGAGGGGCTGTGTCATCCGTGCCAAGGCAGGCTCTGAGGAGGGGATCAGGTCAGACTTCGGTCTGGCTGGACTCAGAAAGCCTCACACTTTTTCTGCCCAATGTTTGAGTCCTGTTTCTTCTTTAGGAAGAAACTTACAGCTGCAAAGGGCTCGATATTTGTTCCTCAAACGACACAGGCCTGGTTTTCTTTTTTACATTTCGGAACTCTCCTAAACTCTCCAGGTGAAAGTGGGAAAGAGCTGGTACTGGAATTGCCTCTATTTAAACGGGGGTGTATCCTGCATCTTCGGTGGGAGCCTAGTGGAGGGCAGTGCCCAGAGACAGGGTAAAGCAAGAGTTGCAGGCAAGGAAGCAACTGGAAAGCAAAGACGCAGGAAAATTCTGTGCAGCCGGGAATCCGGGAAACCTCAGAGCCCTCAAACTTAAGACAAGGGTCTTTCCCCAAAAACTGCTTCAGTATCGGAATTCCATTCCTGAAGCCAAGAGGTAGGAGACCTGTCTAAAAACCAAAGGCATCAGCTTTGGAAAAAGGTCAAGGAGAGGGGTGTGAATAAATAAGTCTCTGGGGGCCTTTCTGAAAATGTGCGAATTGAGGGACGCTGGGAAAGGCCCCCCCTAGAAAGAGCTGGCGGGTAACAGGGAGCGCCAGTTTTTGTTTTGTTTTGTTTTGTTTTGAGAAGCCGGGTTCCAGCCGGGCTTGGCCAGCGCCGGCTACCGGGCCCAGAGAGCCCGGACCCGCGGAGGCAGAGCCCGGACACCCCGCGCCTGGGGACATCCCGGGACCCCCCAAAACGTGCGGCCGCGCGGGGACGGAGGGCTGCGGCCTGGCGCCCGCCAGGTGAGCGCCAGGCCCCAGGGCCACCAGCCGGGAGAGGCGCCTGCTGCGACTCTTTCAAAACACGCTCTCGCGACCAGCCAGAGGCCTTCCTCGCCCATTTCCGGGCCCCAATTTTTTTGTAAATGAACCAGGAACGGCTGACTGGGGCTTTCGCTGGGCCTCTCCCCGCCCTCAGGTCCCTCCCGACCTCCCCGAGCCGGGACGGCGGACGCGGCCGGCGGGAGTCCCCGCACCGCGGGCGCACTCACCGTGGTGAGTCGGCGGGTACCTCTGCACCGTGGCCCTGACCGAGTTTCCGTAGTAGGGAGGGACGTGGTTGCCTTGGCCGTCGATGTTAAAAAGCACATCCACCTCCTCCGGCAGCGGGTACTGCGCGGGATCCATGTAGGAGTGGCCGAGGCCCGGGTGGTGCGTGTCCGGGTGCTGCCCGTTGAGCACGGCGGGGTGGTGGTGGCTCACCCAGCGCGGCTGGTCCGCCGTCACCTCCATGGCCTCGGCTGCACTCGCGCCCTCTCGCCGGGCCCGGAACCCGCGCGCGGAGAGGGAGGGCGGTCGGCCTGAGAGGTCGGGGGGCTCCTGCCGTCGGAGGGTCGGGGGTCGTTGAATGATTTGCTTTCGATCGGGGGATGGAAGGCTGGGAAGGAAAGGCGAGCAAAGGAGAGGGTTTTTACAAAATAATCTTGGAGGGGTCGTTTAGCAAAGAGAAGAAGGAGAAGGCAAAAATCCAAAAACTGGGTACGGCAGGATAAAAGGGGACCAGGTGGTAAAAGGGGACGACGACTCTGGAATTCTGCGAGCCAGGCTCCTCTGCACCAGGGTCCTCAGCCGCTCCGAGGCGGAGTCCCTCCTCGGGTCACCTGCAAGGGAGAGAAGGGGAGACGTGGGTGAGCCCCTGAGTTGCTGGAGTGGCACCACCTCACCTCGCGCCGCCCGCCCGCCCCGCGCACCCGGGACCCGCACAGGCGCGCGGGGACACAGCCGGGAGCCTGCAGGACTCTGGGACGTCCCCGCAGCGCGCCTCGCGGGAGCCGGGACTGACTGAGCAACCTGGAGGACAAGTCGCAGGGCTGACTGTTGCAACTTGGAGGACAAGTCCCTCCCTTGGGGACGCCGGTCCCGGGACTGTCCTCCCAGCCCTTAGAAAACCTCCAAAAGAGGAGAGTTGAGTTTTTTAAATTGCCTTAAGTCCTCCCAAGTGGATGGGGTGGGGGAGGAATCAAACAATAAAAAAAAAAAAAAAAAGTCAGCAGTACCAACCTTGGTAGCGAAGAGCAGAGAGGAGGAGGCGGCGGCGGAGTACGACCTGCTCGGTCAGATTGCGTGGCTCGCTCTGTCTCGCTCTCTCTCCGTCTCTCTCTCTTCTCCTCTCTCTCTCCCTCTCTCAGTATTTTTTTTTTTTTTTTTTTTTTTACAGGGAATGCATTCTTTCTGAAAGTATCAAGACGGCGCCAGGCAGCTCAGTGTTCGCAGACAGCTGTGGCGCGACGCAACTTAAGGAGGTTCTAGTGTCATCCGCGCCGAGGGGGGAGGAGCCTGGCGCTGGCGAGTAGGGGACAGGATCCCCGGCACACGGAAACTGCAACCCAAACCCGCTCCAGGACTTCTCCCCCCGCCCGGCGCACCCCCGCCCCTCCTCCCGCCCCTCCACTGACCGGAAAGGGGCACCGCGGAGGGCGGCCGCGGACGGAGGGGCGGCGGGCAGGGTGGGCGAGGCCCGGGGGGCTCGGGGGCGGACGGGAGGGAACGCTCGCTCTGGCCCTTTAAATGTGGCCGCGGCTCCTGCCGATTCATTCGGGCCGGGTGAACGAACTAGGTCCTGGCGCAGGCAGCCTGCCCCACTCATGAAGTTCATTCCGCTGGGCAGACTTTTCTTTTTCACACTTTGATCAAATAGGCAAGCATGAATCGTGACTAGGATCCAGGGCAGGGTGTTTGGGAGAACGCATGCATGTGGGGAGACCTGCGCGTGAAACTGATCAGAAAAACAAAATGTGTCTCGTCGAGGTACTTTGAGATGTGCCTTTTGAGCCGATTTCCTAAGAGGGTGAGGCATCGGGTAAAGGGGAGATGCTCCGACGGGAGCGTCCGTGTCACTGTTGTCATTGTCACCTCTGTCCCGAGCCTTCCGCGCTCTCGAGCCCACGGAGTGAACGCGCTTCAGCCGCTGCCGCTGCCCTTTCCAGACCTAATGTTTGTGATCAGTGTGTGCTTCTGACTTGAGTAGCAATGGTGAGGGATGAGAAGGGGGAGGGGAGGAAGAGACGGGCTCTAACTCGCCCCCCCACCTCCGAGTACGCTCGGTGTAGACAGACAGAAAAACTCAGTCTTCACTCCGGGGACCCAACTTTTCCTTTCGCCCCGCCCGGAGCCCTACTTACTCCGGCTCCCGAAGTTTCTCCCCGAGTCGAGGAAACCAACCCTCGGTCTGCACCGACCCCAACCCCGGCCTCCGGGCGGGACTCCACGGCGACCTTCCCCGGTGCGCGGGGTCCCCAGGCCGAGCTCTGCGCCACGGGCACCCCGGGCGGAGGGCACGCGGCTCCGCGGCGCCCCGGCGAGCGGGGCGGGGCGAGCGGGGGCGGGGCCCGAAGGGGCCAATCAGCGGGCGAGGCCGCGGCCGTGCCGCGATTGGTCCGCCCTGCGGGCTCCAACCTGCTCTGCCCGCTCGGTCCTTTGAGCCACTGCATCCCCTAGCGGCGCCCTGGTGGCTGCAGCCGCTGGACCGAAAACGCTGCCCGGGCGAGGAGGGGTCAGGCGGGAAAAGAAGACTCCAAATCCACTCTCTCTTCGCCCCGGGGCGATGCTGCGAGCAGAGGGAGTGGGTGCTCCCGCAGGCTATCCCAGGGACGGGGCAGAGAGCTTAACTGGGGGTTTTATTTGAATTGGAGACATAGTTCCCTCTTCGCTCCTCTACCCCATAAAATTCTCTACAAATGCAAAAATTCGAGATAGAAGAAGACGTCCCTGAAAGTAAGTTCTGAAGGATTCCTTTCACGCGGTGAAGGAAAAACATCAATATGCAGCTTCAACTTGGTGTGTGGGGGTTGTCGTGTTTTAAGACACGATCCCTGTAGAAATATTAGTAAAACGTATTGGAAGCAGTAAGTGGAAACGTGGGTCTTCCTGGTCTTGCGTTTGGATCTTCTTTGGAGTCACCTTCTTAAATCTGATGTTTGTTTGAAATCAGAGCTGAATTTCCATGTACAGGACAAAAAGAAAGAACCCCAATTGTTTTCAAAGAAAGCTCTCCCCCCACGTTTCTCCTGAGCCCACTTGGCCTCCCGTTATTAGGAGGCCCAGTTAAGAGGCATCGATTTTCCTTTCGCTCTCTCACCGCTCGTCTCTCCTGGGCCAGCCAAGCTGCCCGCATCTTCTGCTCACAGCGCTCTCTAAACCTTTTAATTATTTAGTTGCTGTCTAATATTCTCCGGAAACCTCTCCATAAACAAGGAGAAATGAACGCACACACGTTTTTGCTAAGAAGTCCGGGATTCAGATTAAGCACCGAAGCCGAAAGAAAAAATGAAAAATGCTTCCCCGCGCGTCAGTCGGGCGATGGATGCGCCACGCAGCGTGAGCCCGGCTCACAGCCACGCTTAAGACTAAGCGCCACCCTGGGTCCCGCGCGCCTAAACCTCGGAGCCCGACAAAGAGCCGAAGAGAGCAGTCCCCGCGACAGAAACGCTGCGGACGCCAGGTCTTGAAAATGCTAACTTCTGAGGCTAAGAATGATTTTAAAGACAAAAAGAAAAGGCTGGCGAAGAGGCCTTCCGGTGCAGGGGCGCCTCTCCGCTGATTTTGGATGGGGAAGTAGGGATTATTCGTTTAAATTCTGTCGCCGGCACCGAGTTGTACGGGCAGGGGATGGAGAAGGGCAACCTCCACCTTTAGAAAAATAAAAGATCTCCAAGGCCCCTCTTGGTCTGGGTGGTTTGAGGCTGGCAGAGAGGGGTGGGGGGCCTGGGGCTAGATGCCCTGGGTAATGGAGCCAGCCGGCAGGGGGTATTTAACATTTAATTCCCAGCCGGTCCGCCCCTGTTCCAGGACTGACAGTGGGTAATTGGGAGAGAGGACGTTGCTCTTTTGATGGCCCGCGCCGGCCAGTCTCGCCGACGCCACACTGGGTTTGACGTCACGGGCCCAGCCCGGGAGCCCAGAGCACAGGGCAGGGGGGGAGGGAAATGGAGGGGAGGGGGAAACCGAGGAGGGAGGGCCGAGGTCGGCCCCGGGACCCACGGGGAAGGAAGGGGGAAGGGAGCGAGGCCGGAGAGGCTGCGGCGCGTGGCCTGAGGCGGAGAGCCGGGCTGCGGGGGTCCGAGCCAGGCCAGGCGCCGGCCTGACCCGCCTCGCCGGCAAGAGCAGGCCGGCTTCCTCCTTCTTTGGCGGGCGGGGGAGGGGAAGGGGGCTCGTGGCCGGGGGGAAGGGGAGAAAGGTGGTCCTGATTCTTCTCCCTGTGCCGCGGCCGCAAAGCTGATCCCGGCCTCCTGCGGAGACGCCTGAGCGCCTTCCCTCAGTCCTGAGGCGACCCCTCCCCAGGTAGCTGGGCCTTGGCCTGGTCTAGCGGGTCGCCTTCCTCCCAAGGAGCAGCCGGCGGAGCTGGGCAGGAAAGCGAGGAGGCAACTCGGGAGGATGCCGCCGCCGCCGCCGCTGCAGGGCCCGGGGTTCCTGTAAGGGCACAAGGCCTCCCTCACCAGGGTAAGGGGCTGGTGATCAACCTGGACGCCTGGGACCCTGGGAGCAAGCATCCCAGAGCCAAGCAGGCAATGGCGCGTCCACCGCCTGGAGAGGAGCCTGGGCCCGGGGCGGCGGCAGCCGGTTTGGCCTATCTGAACCCCCAGGCCTGGGAGCGGCTGCTTTAGGCGTCAAGTTGAGTGGGGTATGTGTGTCCTCTGGGGGAAAAGGTGAGAAATGGAGTCAGACTTTCTCCCCTCGGCAGGGGCTAAGCTGGGACCCTCACACACCCCCAAACACATGCCCAAGACCAAGTCCCTCCCACCCGTCCTCCCTGGGCAAAGAGACCCTGTCCCGGTGGAAGTGGAGAAACGCACTCCGGTACAAAAAGCAGAGGCCGTCGCGCAGAGAGAAGGCGCAGCTTTCCCAGGCCCAGCCCTAGGGTTAGAGACCCAGGGCGCGGAGATGCTCGCGGCCGGCGCCACCCACCCGAGCCAGGCGATCGGCGCGTCCAGGCGAGCTCCGCGGGGCCGAGGTGCCGGGAGAAGCGGCCCCGGGTGCCCGCGCGCTGCCCGCCCAGGGCAAGCAGCAAAGCCGAGCCCCTGGGTTGAAGTCCTGAAGTTACTAATCCCGCGCATGGGGAGAGAGCGTGCCTCGGGCCGCCGGGGGCGGTCATTTGAGCCTGTTTACTTAAAGACTTTGCAAGAAGAGAGCGCGCGAAATAGTCGGATTTCCAGCGAGGCAGCAAATATTTGCAGGCGGGGAGAGAGAAGCGGAGCAAGCCGAGCCGCCGAGTCCCTCCCGCCGGAGCCCCGGCGCCGGCCTGGGCGGACCCGGCCGCGCAGTTAAAGACAGAAGAGGAGCCGGGAATCTGTGGGGCTGGGGGGTGGAGAGCGACACCAAAGGCCAGAAACTGGAGCCGGGCCCCAGGACCCGGCGAGCGGGGACTGGGGGAGGAGAAGTCCCTTCCCATTCCAGCTCGATCAATCTTGCTGGGCTGCGATCGGTCAATAAAATCGGTGTGAAGCGGCCGCTGTCGCTGTGAGTCTGGGGAGGAAGTGGAGGCCAAAGGTGTCGAGGCCGGCGCCAGCTCCTGGCACCAGCTGGGTCCGCGAGTCCGAGATCTGCAAGCTGCAGGCCTGGGGCCAGAGCGTTGCAGGGAGCCTAGCGCGGCCCAGCGGGGCCTTTCATTGGGTGTCTCCATTTTAATAGAGGCCATTGTTCGAGCAATTAGCGAAAGACAATAACCGCCCAGAGGCGTTTAATTCGATTCCGAGAGCCCGCCGGAGTCCGCACCGGGGCGCTCTGGAAGAGTGGCCCAGGCTGCCTGCAAGGGAGGGTCCGCTCTGGGAGGCGCCGGCTCCTTTCCTTGCTCGTTTTGCCTTTGGTGTGGGAATTGGAAAGGGCGACTGAGGCAAGATGAAAGCCCGGCTAGGGCGACCTCAGCCAGGCCAGGGCGGGAAACCTGTCCCCGGCCTCGCTAGCCCACGCCGGGCGCTCCCGGAACCGCCGCGCGTTTCGCGGCGCGCGTCCAGCAGTGGCTGCCGCACAGGTCCCCAGCGCCTGTTCAAACGAGAAGCCCGAGGACGGGGCCGTGAAAACTGGCCTCCTTCCTCCTTAGCCCAGAGTCCCCATTTCTGTCACCCGAAACATCCAAATTTCCTTCCCTACGGTGGGAGGAGGAGCAAAGGAGAGACCCCGGGTAGTGGCGCGCGCACACCTTCCCTCTGCAACCCAGCCAGCCTCACTGCCCCCTCCTCCGCCTCGGCCCCTGGATTAGGTTACCCTGGCGGAGCGACGGTTTTTACTGGATGGGAGAATAGCACAGGTAAAGCTGTATAAACAGCTCGCTGGCTGCCGGGCGAGAGGGTTACGCCGGGGACACGGCTCCAGGCGCCACCGCGGGCTGCGGCACGGCGCCACGGATCGCGCAGGTTAAATACATATTATCCGTGCATCTCTCACCCAGGCCCGCGTTTCCTTTCCCTTTCGAGCAGGGAGCGAGATCTAAACGGGAAAAGGCAGTCGGGCCGTGGGCAGTGCTGGTTGAGGATGCCGGCCCGGCAAGGCTAGGTCTTTTCAAACAAAACCCAGTGAGCTGGGAACTTCAGGGAAAACAGAAAACGAGGGACCCTAAAACTCACTGGCAACGGGAACATGACGGAGGCGGGCGCGTCCAAGTGGAAGCTCTTATGCAGGCTCCCACGCCCACGCGTCCCGGGCTTGGGGTCTACCTTCCCCTCGAAATGAGCCATTGCTTTGGGGGTGGTATGTGGTTTGATTTACCCTTTTGTCTTTTTCTCTTTATTTCTTTGCTTTCTTTTTCTTTTCTTTTCTTTTCTTTTCTTTTTTTTTTTTTTTTCTGTTTGTTCGTTTTGCTTATTCATCTATCGTTTAAAACTCGGAAGGAAACCAGCCCAGGCCAAGAGGAGCCGCGAGCCTTGGGGAGCGTCAAAAAAGAGGAGAAGCGCTAGATCTCCGCCCTTAGCAGGGCCTCGGCCTTACGTCGAGGGATGCTGACCCTCCTCCCACAGCCGCTACCACCACATTTTCCCCGGTTGAGAAAACCCCTGATTGTCGCAAGATAAAAATTAGGTAGGTAGGGGTGCAGCGGAAAGAGGGAGACGGGCAGGGAGAAGAGGAGATTTCTGCCTTCGGGTTTAACAATGCACATGTGAGGGGGGCATCAGTTGCGGGGAGCCCCGGGTTGTGTAGGAGAGAAAGAATTCCCCTTGAATGTGAGTGGAAAGGAATTGGAGTCACCCTGGAGGAAAGGGGCTCTTTTCGGCTCTCTCCCTTCCTCCTCTCTCCCTTCCTCCTCTCTCCCTTCCTCCTCTCTCCCTTCCTCCTGGCCTTGGCAGGTTGGGGGTGAGGTGAGTGCCACGAGAGAAAATGACGGACGGGATGGAGGCAGCCGAGCCGGCAGCCCTGGGTCTCCCCAGCTTTGGATCCCTTGCCCTGCCCCCAGCGGCATCAGTGACTCTTAGCCAGGGGCTTGCTACTTCTAGACCTGGCCTCTCCTCCCTCCCAGGGGGTCCCTCAGCCACACCGCTACAGCACCCAGGACTCCAGACCCTGCACCAAGGAAAGGCTCCAGCCGGACAGAAATTGACCCATTTCAAGGCTTGGCCCACAAGGCCTTAGTACTGCCAGGTGAGGTGGGATGCACATGGGGCTCAGGCTGGCCAGTCTGAGTCACCTGCTTCACTCCCCCAGCCTGGCACGGTCACCCACCACCTCGCAGCCTCCCAGCCCCCAGCCCTGGCTTCAGCCGAGTCTCCTGAGGCTGCTTTAGTCTGGCGTTTTCGGAGGAGAAGGAGGGTTTTATCTGGGGACTATGGTGTTTTGACTCCTCTAGATTAGCCTAGGAATTGGAGTGTGATTGTAGCGGGACAATTGGGCAGGGGGAGTGTTCACAGCAGGGGTAGGAAAAGAGGGGGAGGGGGGCTCCATTCAGATCCAGGAGACAGTAGAGGCGGGCTTTTAAAAGCACAAACCGTTTGTGTCTTCCCTTGGACCCGTTGGAGACCCCTGGTAAAAGCCGTGACTGCCTGGCTCAGAGGTGCGAAGGAGGAGGTTTGGCGTGCGCAGGCTTCTCCCGGCCTCCCTTGGTCCTGGGCTCCCTTGGTGGTGCCGGGCTGCCCCCTTCCCGCTCCCTGCTGGCAGCTCAGTTCTAGGCCACTTTCCACCTCGTGGACCCCAAGAAATTTGTTTTATAAAACAGAACAGCCACCAGACGCCTATGCCTGTTCTTCACTAGCGCCAGCAGACCCACAACCACGGACACCGGACCTCAGCAGGGACGCCTTGCGCAACTGCTTCTTGCTGGGTGCTGCACCCACCTCTGCACCCCCAGCTGTAGTCAGCCAGCAGCCAAAGCAAAAGGGGGATTCCTCAGTTTGTTCCGTCCGAGGCTGCAAAGCCTCTCTGGCTATTCCTACCATTAAGAAAAAAAAAAAAAAAAAAAAAAAAAAAAAGGTGATGGGAAAGATTTGGTCTGCACACAAAGACATACCAGGAGAAGAATGCACATTTTTGTGCAAAATGGCTCAGGCACCAAGAATGAGACATCACTTTGGTGCAGCCTAGAAATAGTTAAAAATAACCCAGTGCTAGAGGACAGAGGTGGCTTCTGCCCCACACACCTTATCCAGATCCCTAATTCCCTGCCACCTCCCATGGTTCCAGAACACAAACTGCTTTAACCGACAGAAGAGGGTTTCTCAGCCACCTGGCTCCTGCCAGTTCCCCAGGCACTCTGTGTGGTCCAGGGCAGCTGGATACCCCAACAGAAAACCCCTACCAAAGAATGCTCAGGGATGCCCACTTCTATCCCTTCTCTGCACCCCTGACTGTCCCCACCTCATTTATCTTCCACAAGAAGGCAGGGTGCAAATGTCAAATAAAAATATAGCTTCCGAGGTCTCCCTGCTTTTGGTGGGGACAGAACAGCCCCAGTGCTGGGGCTGGCAGACACCTCTTGTGCAGAGTGGAGGATGGGCCCACGCACTGCAGCCACTCCGCATCCTCCAAGCCTTGCAGCCTCCTGGGCAGGGGACCCTGGGCTTTTCGGGGCAGCTGGCTGGAAGCTGGAAGCAGAGTCTTCTGCTTGATGCCACTGAGAGACTCCATAATCAGACCCCCCACCTAGCGATCTGACACTCAGTGGTGTCTTGGTCTGAACTGACACCATGCCCTGACTAGGTTCAAACGGATAGAAAATAATTCCGTTCTTCTGAATGGCACAAACATGTCATGGTAAGCCCCAGCCACACACACATACTACCAGCCATTTGGGCCCCCAAGCCTCTCGTTTACAGACACCTGGGTGGACTCAACCAGCCTGGCTAGACCCCCAGCCCACCCACTGCCACGGCCACTACCTTCTCTGCAGCAGCCGCTAAGCAGAGGAGGTTTCAGGAAATGCTACTTCACCATGTGTCCCTTTTAAATTGTTAATCTCCCATCTGCGACCCCATGTCCCGGCGAGCATGGACAATGGGGAGGAGAGAAAGACCAAGAAATATGGGAACCAAACCCAGGAAGAGGCTGCACCGTTGGACTCACTTCCACCCTTGCCCTTGCCAGAATCATCAGTGTCAGTTTCTTCAGGAACCCTGTTGGTATCCGGGAGAAAGAAAAGGCGTGTATGATACAACAGTCCTGCCCAGATTCACTCCACTTCACTGACGTTTTAACATTGTCTTCAAGGGGGAACTGCTGCTGAGTGACCTTTTGGAGGGCTGTTGGTCTGATGTCCCAGGAGTTAAGTCCAAATCTTGTCTTCTCCGCCCCTTCTGCTTTGGATGCCCCTGGGTGCCCTGTGGGGAGGCTGCGGTTTTCTCACCCACCTCAGGGTGCTCCTGGAAGCAAAGAAGCCTCCCGACCCCTAGCCTCCTTCGGGTACGCCAGATGCAGACACATCTGGGTTCCAACTTTATCTTACAGCGCACAGCTGTTTCTTTAATTATATGCAGAGACAATGAGCCTCAACACACACTTTTAAACAGAGGAAAATAAACATAAAATTGAGACTGCAGCCACCTTTAGGAGAAGGCTCCTGGGCTCAGGGGTTGTTTTCCCCAATCCTCTACCCTCCTTGCAGTGGGAAATCTGTGTCCAGCCCTTTCCAAGCATTCCCACCGGCTCTCATTTTTCCGTTGGGTTTTTCTTCACATCCCTACTTCGACCAGCTCTTTCCTGCAAACGAGGACATCTACACGCTCACACACCATACTCGCCCAAGGTCACCACAGAAACCCAGAGACTTCCAGCGACCAAAAAAAGAACAATAAGAACTGGGTTCTAGTTCAGCTTCTTTCAGAGGCAGTCCGCCCTTTGGAGAGGAGCCCTCCTCCTAATTCTCTCCACGTGGAGAGGGGAGAGGGCGTGCGGAGTTAGAGAGGGAAGAGAGTGATATTCACTGACCTGGGCAGCTCGCTCCCGAGGGCCAGCTGTTTTTTATTTTTTCCTGACTCGCCGGAGATCTGAAGGCAGAAATGACAGGCAGAGTTCGCCACTGTGGCTGCCG